CCTCTGGCAGTGGGAAGCCATTCCCTGTGTCCTGTCCCTCCAGGCCTTGTCTCCAGTCCCTCTCCAGCTCTCCTGGAGCCCCTTTAGGCCCTGCAAGGGGCTCTCAGCTCTCCCTGGAGCCTTCTCTTCTCCAGGGGAACATTCCCAGCTCTTCCAGCCTAGCTCCAGAGCAGAGGGAATCCAGACTCATGGAATCCCAGGATTGTCTGGGTGGGAAGGGACCTTAAAGACCTCCAGTGCCACCCCCTGGCATGGGCAGGGACACCTCCCACTATCCCAGGTTGCTCCAACCTGGCCTTGGACACCTCCAGGGATCCAGGGGCAGCCACAGCTTCTCTGGGAGATCCATTCCAGTCCCTCCCCACCCTCTCAGACAGCAATTCCTTCCCAATATCCCATCTCTCCCTGCCCTCTGGCAGTAGGAAGCCATTCCCTGTGTCCTGTCCCTCCCTCCCTTGTCCCCAATCCCTCTCCAGCTCTCCTGGAGCCCCTTTAGGCCCTGCAAGGGGCTCTCAGGTCTCCTCTGATCACTTATAGTGTCCTCAGGGGCCTCAAGCTGCTCCAGGGGAGGTCAAAGTTGGATATTGGGAAAATTCCTTCAAGGAAAGGGCGGTTAAACATTGGAAGGGGCTGCCCAGGGCAGGGGTGGAGTCCCCATCCCTGGAGGGATTTCAGATCCCTGTGGATGTGGCACCTGGGGACGTGGATTTGTGGTGGCTGTGGCAGTGCTGGGGGACAGCTGGGACAGCTGGGGGACAGCTGGGAGCTCTTTTCCAACCTAAATAATTCCACAATTCCAGTCATGGATTCGAGGCTTTGCCGTTCTCACCTCGCTCCCAAGAAGGAATTATCCCAGGGTGAGATATCCAGAGTTCCCTTCTGCCAAGGGGAGGGATCATCCCTGCTGGGAATACACAGGAGCTGCTGGAGTTGGAGCCCACCACGCCCAATTCCCATTCCCTGCCCTTTTCCTTGCTTTCAAAGGATATATAAAGGATATCTAAAAGGAAATATCCAGAGAGGGACGTGGTCGAGGGATCCACAACCATCCCCAGGTTTGTGGGGAGCAGAAGGACACAATCCCCACCCCAAGTGGGATTTGGCTGCATATTCCAACATCTCCACAGGAGAGATGACCTTTGGCTGCTCCAAACTCCTTTCCCAAAGAATTTAGTAGGGATTGACTCTCTGGAAAGACCCGAGGTGTTGTGAGCCCTCCCCCCTTGCTGTGCTGTAATTAATCTGTTGGATGTGCTGCTCCTTTCCTGTCATTCCCATTCCTTTTCCAGCCCTTGCCCTGTCACACTCTGCTCCATCAGCACTGACAATTCCAGCCCTTGGGCACCAACTGCACCTGGAGTCCTTGTGCCTGACCTGGGAATGAAAAAACAAGGGAATGAGTCGTTTGTCTCAGGCTTTGCCCGAGTGGGAAACGCCGGATCCTGATTTTTGGGTTTTTTTGGTGTGTGTTCTCCTGTCCCGGCCCCATCCCGGGTTTTGTGTTTCCCTGGAGCTGGCAGCTCCCTCTCAGAGAGCTGGGTGTTGGGGTGGGATCTGGGGAAAGGATTGGGAGCAGGGTGAGGATTATCCTGTGGGAAAAGAGGGATTTTTGGACCTGGAGTTAGTTGGAAGCCTCCTCCCTCCTAGCACTTGGGATATGGGAATACAGACAACATTGGGATACAGCACCCAGTTCTCCTGCTCCAAAGAGGTGTCTCCTCCTCTGTATTGTCTCCTCTGTCTGACTTCCCTGTGGAAAAGCCACATATCCATGATTTTGGGTTGATTCCTGGTCTTTTGCTGCTCCAGGTGTGGGAGCCACTGGGAAGTGGGAATGGCTGGAGCTGCTTAAACCACCACTTCCCCCAGTATAACTTAAACCAGGATGATTCCAGAGGCAGCTGCTCCAGGAGGTACCAATATCCCCATTTCCCTCCCTCCCCCCCAATCCCAGTGGAAATCCACAGGGATGGAGGGGCTGGAGCTGCCAGGGGCAATCCCATCGAGACAAAACTCCCCTATCCATGAGTTCCCATCCCAAGGGTGTGGATATGAGCTCACTGACCCGTGGCCAGTCCACCTGGCTCCCTGGCACACTTTTCCTTGGATCATTTTCCTCCCCTGGGCTTGGTTCCTTAAGCTTTTGCTGCTTCCTACATCCGTAGCCTGAGGGAAGAGAGCTGGGAAGGTGGAATGAGAGGAGGTGGAATTCGGCAGGATCTGAGTGTGGCATCCTTTCCTGGTAAAGGATGGAGTTTTTTTTAAATTGGATTTTTTTTTTTTAAAGCCAATCCGTTTGAAAATCCCCCCCAAAATTCCCAGCCTGTGTTTCCATCAGCTCAGGGCTCAGGAGAGCCAAAATCTGGGAGGATGGGATTGGGATTTCAAGGAGCATCTGAGGGTTGTTCCTGGTAACACACATTTCCCAGGGGCCCTTTTCCCATCTCCTGAGGGAGCAGCTCCAGGCTTCCTTTGATATTATTATTATTATTATTTTCCTTAATATATTCCATTTGTTTTACAAAATGACCCGCAGGGAAAACCAACAACAACAACAACAAAAAAAGGCTGTGTGATGGGAAATGTTTAAAAAATGGGAATGAACCGGGAATATTTCAGGGCAGGGTGTTCAAATCCTCCCCCGCTGTTGTTGTTTTTCCCTCTGAGCCGGTGCCTGGGTGAGGATCCTTCCTTAGGATGATGGGATGGGAGTGGCTGAGGAGGGGTGGAAATGCCATCCCAGCTCTTCCCCCAGCTCCCTGCTTTGTGTCCCTTCTGCTTCTTCCTGGATTTCCCATCGGGAATCGACAAATCCTTGGGAGAAAAGGCTCCTTGTGCCGGTTTAATTCGGTTTAATCTCCCGCAGGTAGAGCCAAACGGCGCCTGTGTCGTATCTTTTCCCTGCTTTATCTCCCGTTTTCCTGGGAGATCAAGGAAAGGAAAGGCTTTTTTAATTGAAAAACTCCCAATTCCCAGCCTCTTGGAGCCCTTTCCCTGCTCCACGACCGAGCCAGACGGATCAGAACCCTGATCACCGGTGGGTGGGTGGGTGCCGCGTATTCCCACGACTGATCCTTGTATTCCCTCTCTCTCCCAGCCATGCACGGCTGTTCCCGGGTCGTGGAGCTGCTCCTGGAGCGGTAAGCAGGCTCTTCCCAGCTTTTTCCTCCCCCTCCTCCCGCCCTCTGCCAGGCTGGGGGGGACACAAAGGCCGCTTGTGCCGCTTCCCTTGGGGAAGCAGCTGCGAGCCCGGCGCTCTCTCCCCGCGCTCCAGGTTTTTCCCAGCTGGCTGGGGGTGGGGGGGACAAGGGCTCTCCCTGGATGTGCTGCCACGGCTGTGACACAACCCCCAGTTATGTAACCCGGCCTTTCTTTTCCCTGCTGATTCATTCCCGAGGCCGGATGGGCAACAACAACGCGGCGGATTTCTGGCGGCTCCAGTGCCCGGGGTGCAGCTTTGCTAGGCTGGGCTTATCTTTTGTTTTTGGGCCGTGGAGTGGCTTTAAATCAGCCCAGTCATGCCTGACGCTGTTCCCTTTCCCTGGGAATTGCAGCTAAGCCCAGCCTTGTTAATACCAGCTCTGTGGTTTGAGCCAGGCTTAATTCAGCTTTAATTCAGTTTTTTTCTCTTCTCAATGAGATTTGTGGGCTCTGATTTTTTTCCCACATCATTACACGAGGATCCAGGTTTTTTTCCCTGCTTCCAGGGCATACCTTGCCCATCCTGGAGGCCCTCTGGGCACGGGGAAAGGGAATTATAAATCATCTGCAGAAGCCTGGCTTGCCCAAACCTCTGACCCCAAAAAATACCCCCCCAGGCCCTAAAACACCGAGACAGGTTTATCCAGCAGGGTTTATATGTTCCATTTTCGATGCCAGTGTTGATGGCCTCTTTCCATGAGGATTTGATTGCTGCCAGCAGCTCTGTTCCTTGCTTTTTTTTTCTCCTCTCCCAGGTGCCACTACCGACCTGACAGCAGGGACAAGTGTGGAGTCACTCCCTTCATGGATGCAATCCAGAACGGGCACCTCGACATCGCCCGGATGCTCCTGGAAAAACACCAGGTAGGTGCCCAAAAAAACCCCTCTCCTGCCCCTTCCAGGAGCTGCCAGGACAGGGAAGAAGGAAAATTTGTGTCATAAAGAAGAAAGTTCCCAGATTGTAAGGAAAAGGGATTGTATAAAAAGGGAAATTCCCCTTGGAGGTGAGCAAGGTCACCAGGACTCGGATCCAGGTGGAGATCTCACCCTGGGGCAGGAATTGTGGAATCCTGGGATGGTTTGGGTTGGAGGGACCTTAAAGATCATCCAGTTCCAACCCCAACACTTCCCACTCTCCCAGGTTGCTCCATCCTGGCCTTGGACACTTCCAGGGATCCAGGGGCAGCCACAGCTTCTCTGGGCAACAAGCTTTGCCCCTTGGGTGCTGCCCAGCACAGAGAGAAGGGGCCAGAGGTTGCCTGAAATCCCTCTTGGGATCTCCAGATGTCCAAGCCCAGGAGATCTTGAAAGGCTTCTCTGAAGCCTTTTGGGCTTTGCTGGGTCTCAAAATGACTAAAAACCATGTTTATGGTCTTGACATGTCCCCCAGCACTGCTCAGGCACTGAGAGAAATATAAATCCATGGAATCTCTGCTCCTGGCAGGGAAGGAACTCCTGCACTGGGCAGAGCCAGGGATCAAATCCTCTCTGAGCAAACAGGAGAACAAACAGGCCCCAGTTCCTCTGGATTTGTCACCAGAGGGGAAAAAACAGTTTGAGGGTCAATTCTTAGAGGTGAGGAACAAACACCCCTGAGCTGGGAGAGATGGGAGATCCTGGAATGGTTTGGGATGGAAGGGGCCTTAAAGATCATCCAGTTCCAACCCCAACACCTCCCACTATCCCAGGTTGCTCCATCCTGGCCTTGGACACTTCCAGGGATCCAGAGGCAGCCACAGCTTCTTTGGGAGATTCATTCCAGCCCCTCCCCACCCTCCCAGCCTGCATTATTTATTGATCATTTACTGATGGCAGGAGCCAGCCCCCTGCATTATTTATTGATCATTTATTGATTGCTGAGCCATCTGAGCCAGCTGGGGCTCATTCCCACGGGATTGGGATGTTCCCTGATGGTTTCAGTCTCACATTTCGGGCTCTGAAGGTGGGAGAGTTGGTTTAATTCCCTCAATTAACCTTGGCCATGGAGCAGCACTGGGATCACTGGAAGGGTTGGTGCCTCCCAGGTTTTATCAAGCCCTGAGTCACCACCAGCCCTCAGGAAATTGGGTGGTATCCTTGGGGATGAGTGCACTGTGTGTTAACTCCATGACTTTCCTTAATTCCAGCCCTATCCCACAGCCATGGATGCCCTGGGAGCTCAGGCTCTGAGTTTCCTGTGTATTAATTCCATGACTTTCCATAATTCCAGGCCTGTCCCACAGCCATGGATGCCCTGGGAGCTCAGGCTCTGAGTTTCCTATGTATTAATTCCATGACTTTCCTTAAATCCAGGCCTGTCCCACAGCCTGGGAGCTC